ATATATAAGAGGATAAGAAAAGAAAGGAACAAAAGAGAAAAGGAAAAAGAAAAGAACAAGGAAAACAAAAACGTGGGTTGCCTCCCACGAAGTGCTCGGTTTAAAGTCGTGAGCTCGACTTTTCCGTCAATTCATAGTCAACCGGGCACGGCTTAACGAGCTCCTCCAACTTCATTCTTTAGCTCGTTAAAAAACACATTCGCCCACTTACTTCTCGGGGACACCGGGGTTTCTTCCTCCATTCATCCCCTCTCTCAAATTTCATCCCTTTTTCGTGAACTTCAAAACCCCGAACTCGCACAATCTATCAAACTCGATAGGCTACCTCCCGGCTTGGTCTCTCCACACTTAGATTTATGCTTTGCCTCTTTCCTACCCAACTTCACCTTGCCACCTTCGCCAACATCATTTTTCAACTTCTCAAATTTCACTCCAACTCCAACATTCTCATCTACACCCGACTTCACTACCTTCACCTACTCCCCAACACGATTACAATAAGAAAATTTAGAATGAAGGTCGGGATGTACCTCTTTGTCGATATTCTCTACGAACGAGCATTGGCCAACTTTGGGTGGAGCTTCCCGGGCATTGTTCATCGTGAAAGTAGCCGTCTCTCCATGAGCCGAAAGAGTGACTCGTCCATCATTGATGTCGACAATAGTGTTGGTACTCTCCATGAAGGGTCGCCCAAGCAAAATCATGTGCTCCTTCCCAGTGTTCGGGACATCTCCAACATCAAGGACAATAAAATCAACCGCACAACAATGGAACCAACTTTGACCAACACATTCTCAATAATACCTTTCGGCTCCCTCAAGGTACGGTCCGCTAATTGGAGGCTCATTTGAGTCGGCTTAAGCCCTTGCAAACCCAATTGTTTATAAATAGAATAGGGCATGAGGTTTATACCGGCCCCCAAGTCCAGCATCCCGGTCGTCGTTTTTCCATTTCCAAACGTGATCTTCATGACAAAGGCTCTCGGGTCACACTCTTTCCGAGGTATGGTAGTAGAGGCTACCTCGGAAATCATGACTTTTTCATTATCCCCGAATCTCCTCTTTTTCGAAGCTAGATCCTTGAAAAATTGAACATATGCCGGAACGTTTTTTGTAACGTCTAGTAATAGGAGATTCACATTTATCTCCGAGAGCATGTCGAAAAGATCCTTGAATTGACACTCCTTCTTTGTATCTTGCAAACGGCTCGGGAAAGGGACCGGTGGTCGGTAGGGTATGGTAGTCTTGTGCAAAGCCTCACGGGCATCCTTCTTTGGGTTCTCATTCTCGATTCTCTCATAAACAACGGCTTTTTCTTTTGAAACCTCAACCTCTTCACTCGGTTCATCATCACCCTCCTCAACTATCTCCTCAACCTCGCTTTCCTTGGGCATCTCCACATGATTATCGATTTTCTTACCACTCCTCAACAACGTGATGGCATTGACGTGCTCGGGTTGGCTTGGAACTTGCCTTTCATCTTGCCTCTTTGAATCTCGTCAATAAAAGTCCCGAGTTTTCCCCATTTGAGTCTCGAGGCATTTGATAGAGGCTTGAATTGAGAGCACTCATTTGACGGTGTCGTGAAACGTAGAGACGGTAGAGGCCAACGACTGAAAACACTTCTCTAGGCTTTCGATTCGAGCATCCGAAGACTCTCCGCTAGCATTTCTCTCGGGCTCCAGTGGAGGTGGCATTGGTTGTCTAGGGATAAATCCTCCACGCCCTTGTTGAAAACCTTGAAATTCCGGCCTCGATTGGTAGCCTTGGAACTCGATCCTCAGTTGGAATGGTCGGTTTTGAGGGGATGCATATGCTTGGGGTTGGTTGTAAGGTTGAAGTGGTGCCGGTTGGGTTGCGTACCCCGTTTTCAGGTCCCTCCATGAGAAGTTAGGGTGGTTTCGCCACCCAGGATTGTAGGTGTTCGACTATGGATTGTTTTGGACCCATGGGGCGTACCCTTGGATAGCATTGATGTCGTAGGGGACTCCTTCAAGATTTGGATCGTAGGCCGACCCCATATAACGTGGACACTTGTGGACTTCATGCCCCGTCTCGCCACAACAACCGCACACCTCGGCCATCACAATTTGAGTTGACTTCACATCTCTTAACCGAAGTTTTTTAAGTTCCTCCTCCAATGAGACTAGCTTGGCAATCACGGTATCGTTCAAAGACCCGGTTGATGGTGTAGCCTCATTCACGGGGGTCCTCTTGCGAATGCTTTTCCTTTGAGAATTCTCACTCAACATCCCGTAGAGCTCATAGATCTCCTCCGCCGTGTGGCTCCCGATGTCTCCTCCGGCCGCATTATCAACCATGTATTGAAGGGTTTGATGGAGATCATCGTAGAAGAATTTATTTAGTACCCCAAAGAAAAAGTGGTGATGTGGGCATTGAAGTTGGTACCCCTTGAATCTCTCCCATGCCTTGTGGAAGGTTTTCCCAACGCTTTGGCTAAAGCTAAGAATTTGGGTTCGGAGGTCGGTAGTCTTTTGGTACGAATAGTACTTTCCCATGAACTTCTTGTAAACAGCTTCCCATGTGATGAGCGAATTCAGAAGCAATGTCATGAACCAAGTCTTTGCTTGATCCTTCAATGTGTAAGGAAAACACCTCATTCGGAGTTGGTTCTTGGGTAGTCCTTGGATGGGAAATGTGTTGACGGTTGCATAGAATTCTCGGATGAAGTTGAGAGCATCCTCTTGGGCGAGGCCGTAGAATGAGGGAAGTTGGTTTAGGTGGATGGTATTGAGGTCGTAGTATTGGGCCGCCTCCCCGAGCACGAGACATGTAGTGTTGTCTCCAATGATAAGTCGTGCAAAATATCTCATGTTCGGGGGAGGTGGTTGTGGCAATTGCTCTCATTGTCCCGCCATTGGTTCGGTTTCGGGTTGCGGTTGTGGTTCTTCAATATTAAGCTCAACGAATAGATCGGATGGTTGTGTCTTCTCTACGGGTGCACGTCTTCATCTACCTCACATAAACACAAACAACAACTATACCCGTGAACACACCAATGTGAAACAAGGTAAAGTCAAGGTCAACAAACACAAACTACCTAGAAAACCAAGAGAAAAAAAGAGAAACGCGAAAATTAAGCAAAACTCACAAAAAACAAGAGAAACATAGGAAAAAGAAACAATCAAATAGCAATTTAAGCGTCCTACTTGCCTTCCTCGGAAACGGCGCCATTTATTTAGCAAGTTTTGCGGTGGGTAAAGGATAACCAAGTTACCTAACACGGGTCATTCTCAAAAGGAAGGCGCTTCGGATTTTTATCTACTAATCGATTGTTCATATCACAAAAAGAGAAAATAAAGCCTAAACATTCTAATCAATTGGTTTGGAATCGGATTATCACTAAACGAGCAAGCAATTACGAACAATAGCAAATAACGAGCAAGTAACGAAATCGACTTATTGGAGTCTCATGCCATCACCGGAAAGAAAAGGAGAAACAAACACCAAAGGGAAAAATGCAAGCTTTAAGTACTAGGTAATTAAATCCAAACCTTCTAACACTACGTGATTAAGCCCTAATCAGGTCTCAACCCTTAAACGAGATCGACAAACAATTAATCCCTATAACTACTCAAGCAAAGCAATAAAGGAAATCAAGTCCAAACTTTGCCTCCATCATCAACCAAACTCAAATTTACTCTAATAAACATTATAAGTAAAAACGAGGCAAAAATCAAAGTAAAGAGCTTTAAAACTAAATACCCATTCTTTATTGCGTAGACGATGAAAAACAAAGTCAAAAGTTCAAAACTTAAAAGAAACAAAAGTCACCGAAAAACCTCCCGAAAAATGACATAATCTTCTTAGTCCTATAGAGCAAACATAAAACTTAAGCTAAGAACCAAAAAAGGAAAAGTGTAATAATTAGCTAGATAATCCCAAAATGCAAAGGCTCAAAAGTATTTATAGTTCCACTCAAAACACACACTAGAAAAATGCAGATTAAATGAGACACTCTCGATGTCTCCATGAAATCCGCAAGCTCGCAGGCAGTGATAAGCACAGGTGCGCACGGGCGCGCGCGTGGATGGACGGGCGCGGGTCGTGCAGTTGTAACACTCTTAATAGCGCAGGGAATTCCGCATGCTCGGGCAGCAGGCGCTGGCGCGGCTTTGAGGCACTCTCGACATCACGGCGTCTTCCGCGAGTGCGCGGGCAGCATGCTGGCGTGCGGGCGTCGAGGTCGTGCACTCTCGACCTCATCAGGCTTTCCGCAAGCGCGCGAGTTGTGCTGGGCGCTGGACTGTGCCACTCTCGACGTCGCAACCATTTCTACGTGCGCACGAGTTGTAGGCGGCATGGGGCGCACGGGCGCGCGTGTGCAGGTCGAGGCACGTCCGAGCTTGACTAAGGACTCGACATACTCGACCGAAAATGGTTCGTACAAATGGCTCGAAACTTCTCGGAATTCTTGGGAACTTCACTCGACTCTCCTCATTCATCCTTTGAATAATCTGAAATTTCATCACAAAGCACGAAAAAGTACGCCGAAAATATAAATAAAACAAAAGACAAAAAAACACACGGAAAATGGTGTAAAGAACCCTTGTTTTTTTGTAATTTTTTATGAATTTTTTATATTTTTTTGGTAATTTTGTAATAAGCTTGAGAGTAGCAGAAATGGAGGAATTTTAGAGAGAGAAAATGAGATGGGAGGGATAGAGACGAGAGAGAAAGAGAATATTTTTGTTGTAACTGCTTGAAAAATTCATAGCACATGCTTGTTCCAAATATATAGTCCTGCACATGGGAATTACACTCAACTAGATAATTACTTAAAAGTAAAGGTAAATAAGATAAAAGATAAATCTAAAGATAAATGGATAATAGGCTTCAACATCTTCAAACCCAAATTGGGCCTTCAGTAACTTGGCTCGTTCGTTAATCACGCACGCTCATCATGGACCCATCTCGCAGCGGATCATCTTCGCGGCCCATCTTCTGAAACGGCCCGATGACAACTGATGCATCATCTTCTCCTTCTGCTGAATCGGTGCCCTTTTCGAATTAGGGATTTCAATCTCTCCTTCTGAAAACCCGATCCCTAATTCCCAAGCTTCCACCTTTTCAGCATTTCCCGTGACCTTCACCTCAATGCTCTGCATTTCCGTAACATTTCCCCCTTCTTTACCAAACCCTTGTCCCCAAGGGTTGAAATCTGGGAATTTTTTCTGAATAAATTTATCATCTTCCCAAACTGGTTGAACCATCTCTGAGCCATCCCACTGTATAAGGATCTGGCGTACCATCTCCTTACCGCGTTTTACTTCCCGTTGATCCACTGCAGCAAAAGGAGCGATCTTGAAGGTTCCTTCAGAAGTTTGCGCCGGCAATGTTTTCGCAGGTATGACTCCCTCCTTAACCTTTCCTTTTAATAACGATACATGGAATACTGGATGTATCTGTGACCCCTCAGGTAGCTCTAATTTGTAAACAACTTGACCAATCCTCTCCAATATTTTGTAAGGTCCATAATATCTGGTTGATAGTTTAAGGTTTCTTCGGACTTGAACGAAGTTCTGCCTGAAAGGTTGCAGCTTGAGGTAAACCTCATTGCCTACTTCAAATTCCCTCTCTGTTCTGCCTTTGTTTGCATATACTCTCATGCGATTTTGTGCCTGAGAGAGATTTTTCCTTAGCTGTTGTATCATTATCCTCTTGTCTTGTATGTATTTGCTTGCCTCTGGGTTGGGAGACTTGGTGTAGGGTTTGAGTGAGAACATAGAGGGCGAGTACCCGTATAGGGCCTGAAATGGGGTGGTCTTTAGGGCTGAATGATAATTGGTATTGTACCAATATTCCGCGAGAGGCAACCATTTGACCCAATGCTTTGGGGTGGCTTGTGTCATACACCTGAGGTAAGTCTCCATGCATTGATTCAACCTCTCGGTCTGTCCATCAGTTTGTGGATGGTAGGCTGAGGACAAACTTAGTTTTACCCCCAACATTTTGAAAATTTCCCCCCAAAATTGACTAGTGAATATTTTATCTCTGTCTGTCACTATGCTGAGTGGCAACCCATGAAGTTTATAGATTTGGTCTTGGAAAAGAGTAGCTACAGTTTGGGCTGTGTAGGGATGAGTCAGTAGAATGAAATGCCCAAATTTTGTGAGTCTGTCAATGACAACAAGTATGACACTTTTACCCCCGAATTTAGGTAACCCCTCCACAAAATCCATACTTATGTGGGACCATGGATACTCTGGTATGGGTAGAGGTTGAAGCAACCTGGGTAGGGGCTCAAGTCTGGTTTGTTTCTTTTGCATACATCACATTTTTGCACCAGAGATATAACATCAGCCTTCATGTGTGGCCAATAAAAAACACCCTTAAGTCTCATGTAGGTTCCATGTACACCTGAATGCCCACCATAAGGTGAACTGTGCATTTCTTCTAGTATCTGTCTCCTCAATGACTGATCATTTCCAATTGCCACTCTCCCTTTATATTTGATGATGTCTCTGTGAATTTCATAATGGGGTTTGCTGGCTGTCCCCAGGCTTTGAGCTACAATCATTTCTTGAAAGTAAGGATCTTGTAAATAGCTGTCTGTAACCCTCTTTCCAGTTAGGTACCACTGTTGTTATGGCATTCAAGTCATTTGAGGATTCCACCCTAGATAAGGCATCTGCAGCTCTGTTTTCCTTTCCCTTCTTGTAGTGTATTTCATAATCAAGTCCCAAAAGTTTTGTGATCCACTTTTGCTGCACAGGGTTCATAACCTTCTGATCTAACAAGTGCTTAAGTGCCTGTTGATCTGTCTTTATTATAAACTTGTGCCCTTGTAAGTAATGCCTCCACCTTTGAATGGCCATAAGTACAGCCAAGAACTCCTTTTCATAAATAGATAGACACTGGTTCCTTGCACACAAAGCCTTGCTCATATAGGCAATGGGTCTGCCCTTTTGCATTAGTACAGCACCCACCCCCACTCCACTTGCATCAGTCTCAATCTCAAAAGGTAATGTGAAATCAGGTAAAGCTAGCACCGGTGTAGTGGACATAGATTGTTTGAGATGGTGAAAGGCTTCCTCAGCTTCTTGGCTCCACTTAAAGCCATCCTTCCTTAATAAGTTGGTTAGTGGTTTGCTGACCAACCCATAGTTCTTGACAAATTTTCTATAGTACCCTGTCAACCCCAAAAACCCCCTTAGTTTTTTTAGGGTCTTAGGGATTGGCCACTTGACCATGCTCTCAACCTTTGAGGGATCTGTTGAGACCCCTTCTTTTGTGATAATGTAGCCTAGGTACTCCACTTTGGTCTGCCCAAAACTGCATTTGCTTTCCTTGGCATACAACTTGTGCTTCCTTAATAGGATGAGTACCTGTTCCAAATGGTTAAGGTGGTCACTCCAATTCTTGCTGTACACCAAAATGTCATCAAAGAATACCAACACATGTTTCCTCAGGTAGTCACCAAACACCCTATTCATTAAGGATTGAAAAGTGGCTGGTGCATTGCACAACCCAAATGGCATCACCAAAAATTCATATTGCCCCTAGTGTGTGTTGAAAGCTGTCAGGTACCTATGCTCAGGCTTCATTAAGATTTGGAAGTAACCTGACCTCAGATCTACTTTAGAAAAGAACTCAGCCCCATTTAGCTCATCCAATAGCTCATCAATTACAGGTATTGGATACTCATGTTTAATAGTTAAGCCATTCAAATACCTGTAATCTACACAGCGTCTCCAGCCTCCATCCTTCTTTTTTACTAGCAATATTGGGGATGCAAAGGGGCTCTGGCTAGGCTGAATTACCCCAGAGTTTAAGAGTTCCTTGATAATTTTTTCTACTTCAGCCTTTTGGTCATGGAAAACCCTGTAAGGGTACTGGTGCTTTGAGGTGCTTCCTGGTAATAGGTTGATTTGATGTTCCACTTCTCTGACTGGGTGTAACCCAGTGGGTTCCACAAAAATGTCTTTGTATCTCTCTAGGAGTTCAGCCACCTGAGAATTATGAATTTGGTCAGGTTTTGGGGTGGTGATAACATATAATTCCTCAACCTGACTGGATAACTCGGTGTGTATCAATTTGTAGAGTGAGTGGCCAGAAATAAACTGGCACTCTGAGCTTGAAGTCAAGGCCTGCAGCCTCACTTTCTTCCCCTGTAAGGTAACTGTGAATGTCATGTCTTCATAGTCCAGCTCAATAGGTGTGCAGGATTTGAGCCAGTCACCTCCCAATATGAGATCACATCCCTCATTTTTCAGCACTCTTAAAGGATAGGTAAACTTGTTTCCCTGCATGTCCCATGTGAATTCTGTGGCTACATGACTGCTTACTAGCCTTTGTCCATTTGCAACCTTGACCAGTAGTGGTTTGACCTTGTCCAACTTGCACCCTAGTTTGTGAGCTGTTTTTTCTTGGATGAAGCTTAAGGTACTTCCTGAGTCAATCAATATGTGGAGTTTGTGCTTACCAACCTGACCAAATAGCCTCATAGTAGTCACCCCATCCTCTCCTGATAAAGAGTTGAGAGACATTTGTACCTCCTCCATGTCAGGATCCACCTCAGAAAGTGATTCTTCCTCACACACCTTAAGATAGGCTAATTTCTCTTCCTCAGTCATTATCATATAGTTAATCTTGTTCTTACATCTGTGCCCAAATTTAAATTTCTCATCACAATTATAACATAAACCTTTCTCTCTTCTTGCTGCCATTTCAGAGGAGGATAATAACTTGGTAGTTGTCCTTGGGATGGCAGCAGGAGTACTCTTCTGATTTTGGTTTTCAAATTTTCTTTGGTTTTGTGGATATGGTGAGACAGATGGTCTTGATTGATTTCTGACCTTCCTAGTAATGGCCTCTAGTGTGAGAAATTGTTGTCTCCCTAACTCAATGGTCTGTAACAGGGATGAGGGCTCAAACATGTGAATGAAAGCCTGTAATTCTTCCCCTAGCCCACTGATGAAGCTGGCTATAAAGTACTCTTCAGAGTATTTTCCCAAAATTTGCATACAAGCCTTTAGTTCTTCAAATTTTTCAACATACTCCTCATAGGATCCCTTTAACCTTAGCTTGTTAAACTCTGATATGATCTTGGTTTCCCTCAGTTCCTCAAACCTAGCTGATATTACATCAATGAACTGATCCCAGGTCAAATTCAAGGGTTGAGAGCTGAAATTCTGATACCATAGTGCAGCCTTTCCCTCCAGGTGCATAGATGCTAGGATTACCTTCTGTTGGTCAGGGATGTTAGGGACAAGCTTGAAGTAGCTGTTGCATTTTAGGATCCATGATCTGGGCTGATTCCCATCAAACCTGGGAAATTCTACCTTAGGAGCAGGATGAATTATTTGAGTTGGGTTTTGCTCTGTTAGGTACCTTGGCTTTTGTGAATTATGACCTCTGGGGTTTGTGTTGTTTGTCCAGGGATCCCCCAGAATTGATTCTTCCTCGCGGTTCCCATTTCCTTTTGACATGTTTAGCAGCTGTAGTTGTATGGATGCCAAGGTATCTGCTAGGTTATCGTATTTACCATTTAATCCCTGCATCTCTGTGCTGATTCCTGAAATTTGCTCCTGTAACTTCATCTCAGTGGCTTCCCTTTTCAGAGACTCTGTTTGTAGCACCTGATCGATTCTTCTTTGAGCCTCCTGCAGGTCCTTCATTCTTATTGCTTCAGCCATGGCCAAGGAAAGGTGGCTCTGGATACCAAATTGTAAAGAACCCTTGTTTTTTTGTAATTTTTTATGAATTTTTTATATTTTTTTGGTAATTTTGTAATAAGCTTGAGAGTAGCAGAAATGGAGGAATTTTAGAGAGAGAAAATGAGATGGGAGGGATAGAGACGAGAGAGAAAGAGAATATTTTTGTTGTAACTGCTTGAAAAATTCATAGCACATGCTTGTTCCAAATATATAGTCCCGCACATGGGAATTACACTCAACTAGATAATTACTTAAAAGTAAAGGTAAATAAGATAAAAGATAAATCTAAAGATAAATGGATAATAGGCTTCAACATCTTCAAACCCAAATTGGGCCTTCAGTAACTTGGCCCGTTCGTTAATCACGCACGCTCATCATGGACCCATCTCGCAGCGAATCATCTTCGCGGCCCATCTTCATAAACGGCCCGATGGCAACTGATGCGTCATCTTCTCCTTCTGCTGAATCGGTGCCCCTTTTCGAATTAGGGATTTCAATCTCTCCTTCTGAAAACCCGATCCCTAATTCCCAAGCTTCCACCTTTTCAGCATTTCCCGTGACCTTCACCTCAATGCTCTGCATTTCCGTAACAAATGGTAAAATAGACCGGTCGACACTAAAACAAACCTAAAACCGACTCGATAACACACATAAACACATAAACACATAAAAATAAGCACAAAAACACAAAAAATAATGACCATGAACCCTTTTCTACCCGACTTGTTGCGCATCGAGTGATAATTCTTGAGCCACTATAATATTATCCGTGATGTTCCGGCCAAGAACAAAGCTAGACTGATCTTGACCAATAAGCAAAGGGAGCACCAATTTCATGCGATTCACCATTATCTTCGTAATCAGCTTGTATGCCACGTTAAGGAGGCTAATAGGCCGAAAACTCTTAATGCTTTCTGGGTTTGTAACCTTCAGAATAAGGACAACTAAGGTTTTATTAAGGTCCAATGGCAGGCTTCCACTACTGAAAAAGTTTTGGATCATCTCACATACCGTCGGGCCCACCGTCTTCCACTTGCGCTGAAAGAACATGGCATGAAGCCCATCAGGACCAGATGCTTTCAATGGTCTCATCTCTAGGGCGAGAAAGATGTCCGAGTCTCTTAGCTCGTGACCCATGCTGTTAAATAAACGACGATCAAGGCGAGGGAATAAATTAACCATACTTAGGCCCGACTGAATCGGCTCAGAATGCGTGTAGATAGCCCAAAAATATTCAAGTGCCATATTTTTTATAAGATCAAGATCCTCCACAGTGTTGCCCTTCTCATCGCGCAAGAAAGCTATCCGAGTATGGTATCGGCGCTGCTTGACGGCCTTATAATAGTAAGATGTGTTCCTGACACTAAATAGCGTCCAATCCCGCTGGCATTTCTAAAGCATTAATAACTCCTTCTACAATGAAACCTCATCAAGTTCCTTGCGTAAGTCAGCATCCATAGTAAGAAGGAGAGTAGTGGTATACTTTTGTAACTCACGTTGGACCCCAGCAATACAACGGAGGAGTCGTTTCTTTCGTTGAAAAATGTTCCCAAATACATGAGTATTCCAATACGTTGCAGAGCTTCCACACAATATGCCCTAGACCAAGCATCCTGCACTACATCAGAAAATCCGTCGTTGTGAAGCCAAGACGCCAGAAATTTGAAAGGCTTGGGCGCACGGGAAGAAAAATTGCCGGTTGAGAGACGGAATAGGAGAGGGAAATGGTCCAACTTATTTCGGGGTAAATGTTGAACGAAGCCCTCTTTGTAATATTTCATCCAAGCCGAGTTGGCCACAAACCGGTCAAGTTTTTGTTTCAAGTCACCCCGCTCCCACGTATAGAGTAGGCCATTAATTCTAAGTTCTTCGAGTCTATTATTAAATATCCACGAAGAGAAGTCTGGGTTGATAATATGGGGTCGTCGAGCTCCCCCCGTGCGTTCGCATGGCCAGATTATGCAATTAAAATCACCGCCAATAAGTAAGGTTCGTTAATGTCATCCGCTAGGGCCGCAAGTTCTGGCTACAGAACCCGACGAATCTGAGGGTTCGGGCTTGCATAAACGAATGTGATGAGAAATTCCATGTCGTTTGTAGAGATCCTAGCATGGATAAATTGACGATAGCATGCCATGACACTGAGATGCACCCTCTCTTTCCACAAAAATACGCCTCAACTCTGAATGACCGACCAAAGCCGCTCTTTTTAATGAATCTTCAACCAACATTTTGAATAAAATTTGATTGACCTGTAAAGAGAATTTGCACTATTTATGTAAATTCTTAATGCTATTCACTTACAAAAAGAAATATAAAAAGAGCAAACATTGTATATGTGACTGAAATTTGATCTATTTTCTCAACATTTTAAATTCGTATCTTAGTTGCTTATTTTAATCATGGTGTTAATTACTCGTGTTAAATGTGAATTAATACACATTCTTTATGTGCTGATGATTGTGCATATGTTTGTTTGTTTTATTGTTGACCAAAAAATGATAATTCATCAAAGAATAATCCTACAGTTGGGATGAAATTTTTAACAGTGGATGAGGTTTTATCAATTCTATGATTCCTGACTCATGGCTAATCTACCATAGTGGACATTGTTAATACCTAATTTTGGCCTCGCCTATTAAAATATTACACGTGGATATATATTATATCAATTGTCTTATTTTATGGCCCACAAATAACACTGCTTGTAATAATAACGGG